GCTCGGAGAGGTCTTTTCCAATTCTGACGGAGCTGGTGGTATTGCTCAACGTCATTTTACACAGCCGTATGAGTTTTGAGGGGATGCCAAATTCAGACATAGCGGCGTATAGGCAACTCCTTTTAGTGCTGTCAAAAGCGGCTTTAAAGTCGACAAATAGGTGGTGAGTGTCGATCCTTTTCTCGCGGGTCTTTTCCAAGATTTGGCGTATTGTGAATACCTGGTCTATGGTGGATTTGCCAGGTCTAAAGCCACACTGATAAGGCCCAATCAGTTCATTGACGGTGGGCTTCAGTCTTTCACACAATACGCTCGATAAGACCTTGTAACCTATGCTTAGAAGGCTGATCCCGCGGTAGTTGGCGCGAATGGCGGGGTCACCTTTCTTGTGGATTGGGCAGAGCACACTTAAATTCCAGTCGTCGGGCATGCGTTCATCTGACCATATTCTGCACAAGAGTTGATGCATGCACCTTATCAACTCCTCGCCGCCGTACTTGAATAGCTCAGCTGGCAGGCTGTCAGCTCCAGCGGCTTTGTTGTTTTTCAGCCGCGTTATTGCTATACGTACCTCGTCATAGTCAGGCGGTGGAACGTCGACTCCGTCATCATCGACTGCGGGCTCGGGTTCTTCTTCTCCACAACTTTCCGTGCTGCTACCATTTAGTAGGGCGGAAAAGTGTTCCCTCCATAATTTAAGTACGCTCTGGACATCAGTTACTAGGTCGCCATTATTGTTCTTACAGGAGTGCGCCCCGGTCTTTAAACCTTCCGTAAGTCGCCTAACTCTCTGGTAAAATTTTCGGGCATTCCTCCTGTCGGCCAGCATTTCAAGCTCTTCGCACTCACGTATTTCTGCCTCTCTCTTCTTGTTGCGGCAAATACGTCTCGCTTCCCTCTTCAGATCCCTATAGCGGTCCCACATAGCGCGCGTTGCGCCCGATCGCAGCGTGGCCCTGTAGGCGGCATCTTTTTTCTCTGCAGCTTCCTGACACTCCTCATCGTACCAGTTGTTCTTTCGGGCTCGCTGAAATCCGACTACTTCTTCGGCGGCGGTACTTAATGAGCGGGAAATGTGGTTCCACTGCTCGCATATGTCGGTTTGTTGAAGAGTGCTCTCTGAGAGCAGGTGTGAGAGTCGAGTAGCGAAAGCGCTGGCTGTCTGTTGTGATTGCAGCTTTTCGACGTTAAGCTTTCCTTGCATATTTGGGCGCACATTTTTTGCTGCACAGAGGCGGGTGCGTATCTTGGCTGCAACAAGATAGTGGTCCGAGTCGATGTTTGGGCCTCGGAGTGTGCGTACGTCTAAAACACTGGAAGCGTGCCTTCCGTCTATCACAACATGATCGATTTGGTTTCTCGTTTTTCGATCCGGAGACAGCCAGGTAGCTTGATGGATCTTTTTATGCTTGAACCTAGTACTGCATACTACCATGTTTCGGGCCCCGGCGAAGTCGATCAGCCTCAATCCGTTGTCGGACGTTTCGTCGTGGAGGCTGAATTTTCCGACGGTGGTTCCAAAGATCCCTTCTTTGCCCACCCTGGCATTGAAGTCGCCAAGCACGATTTTGATATCATGACGGGGGCAGCGCTCGTACGTGCGCTCCAAGCGCTCATAGAAGAGATCCTTGGATGCCTCATCCTTCTCTTCCGTCGGGGCATGGGCGCAGATGAGCGAGATGTTGAAGAATCTCGCTTTGATGCGGATTGTGGCTAGACGCTCGTCCACCGGGGTGAACGACAGTACTCGGCGACGGAGTCTCTCTCCCACCACAAATCCAACTCCGAATTTGCGCTCCTTTACATGGCAGCTGTAGTAGACGTCGCAAGGCCCCAGACATTGTTTGCCTTGCCCCGTCCAACGCATTTCTTGGATGGCGGTGATGTCAGCTTTTGTCCTTACGAGGACATCAACCAGCCGGGCAGAGGCACCTTCCCCATTAAGGGTCCGGACATTCCAGGTGCATGCCCTCAAATCGTAGTCCTTTAAACATTTGCCGTGGTCGTCGTCATAAGGGGGGGTCTCATCCGAGGCTTTGCCTTGCTTCTTCACTGGAAGTGGTTTTTACGTGGCGGGTCCCAAGCCCAGCGCACAACCCATTGCTGGGACGGGGGTGGTTTCGCAACCAAATACACGTTTATATAGCGAGCCGCTTGCTCCAAGCAGACACCCGCTTGCAGCCGCACCTACTGGTGAACAGACGCTGCAGACTTCAGTGAGCCCTTAAACCGAATAAGTCAGAGTGGCCCCACCGAAGCTCCCTCTCTTTCTGCCGTGACCCAAGGCTCCACTCGGATTGGTTACCGCATCTCGCACATGGGTTGCTCACGTTGCCCAGAGTGCGCGAACGAGGACGCAAGAGTCGGGATTGAGTATAGCCATGCAACTGTAACTGCATACCCAGCGCAATGACTATACCCCATTGCACGAATGTAACATACTCACAATAAAAAAATATGCATGATACGCACGTGTTGTTTGAACAATATATTAGACAATATATTGACAATATATTAGAGAACAGAGATTTCTCTATTTGTAAGAAATGTCATAACCAGACCGATAATTCTCGGAAGTTGGGATGTTACTTGATGATTGACCTCGCGATCGTAATTTGCAGAAATTACAAACAAGTGTTCCCAGGAGGAGGAAAGAATGCATCTTGAAAGCTATCGCTAGATTCGTTACGGTCGACAACCAAGTCTACAGATTAGTGGGAGTTGCCCATTATAGAAATAATTCTGATTCCGATAACGGAGGCCATTATACAGCTTTTACTTTAAACGAATATATTTGGCAAGAGTACGACGATTTATCTAAAAGCCTAAAACGTGTCCCGAATACGACTAAAGTAGTACCATATTTGATCTTGTACGTGAAAAAACGTGCCAGCGAGGAATCCGGAAATAATGTAGACGCTGTTTGAGTTCGAAGAAATCTAAAAAAAGCATATATATGCCGCCTTAAAATTTTTCCATCCATATCGTGACCTGAGTGGAAGATGGACCTATCTCCGTAGCCAGTTCGAAAAAGCCCTATCTCACAAACTTTTCAAGAACGCCTTTCTTCAGAACGTGATTGAAGAACGCCCCATTTCAGAATTTTATTGAAAAACACCCTATCTCCGAATTTGGTTGAAGAACGCCCTATCTCAGAATTCGGGTCAAAAACACCAAATCTCAGCTGAAACTACAGCTGAGATGTGCTTTGAATCGGCAGCTGAGATAGGGCGTTCTTCAAACAAACTCTGAGGCAGGGCGTTCTTCAATCAAATTCTTAAATAGGGCATTCTGAGATAGCGCGTTTGCGAGATAGGTCGATCTGCCACTCAGGTGACGATATTGTCGATTTTTTTACTTCTAAACTAAAAAATATTTTATACGTATGAAACAGGCAGTTTTAGTTTCTACACGTCCATAGTATTTTTGTTGTTATACGAGCCAAGAATGATCGCCTAACTTCGTTAGGAATACATAGCATGGAAACTGATTAATAATAAAGTTACATAATTCGATATAACTTTTAGATTTTTCTTTCGAGTTGGCCCCTCTCTGAATTAATTTTTTTATAATGAATTTATTTGTATCCTTTTATATTTTAATATTTTTGTAAATTTTTTATTGTCTTAACCCTTCTGCATAAATTGGGTCAAAATTACCCAATTTTCATGAAAAGTTCTTTAATTGCAGAGATAGGTAATTTTAAATAAGCTGCGGCGTTGTCTATTCGTTAAAAGCATACTCAGCTAGGGTTTCGAAAAAATAAAAAAGTTTTATATTTTATTTTGTTTTTTTAGAGGGCGACATAATTTTTCCATCACCCACAGTGTTTCTGGATCTTTTAGACCCAAATTATTACTTAGTATTTAAGTGCAACTTTGAACCGGTAAGCATACAGCACTTCCCGATAGAGTGTCTGCATATGATAAATAAAATGTTAACTGAATTCATATTAAAATATAATGTTTTTTTCTTAAAATTGACATTATAGGAAGGCGTAAATTCCAAACACTGAATTTTGACCCAAATTATTATTTGGTATTAAAGGGTAACTTTGAACCTTATAACTTTTTTACTATTGGTCGGACAAAAAAACTTTATTAAAGTTTTAGTTAGGACTCTCAAAGGGCTACTCAGAGCTCTTAACAGAACTCTGAAAATGCAAACTAAATTTTTTTGTTAGTAAAAATTCGCCCTTTGTTGTTTGCTTATAACTGTTTTACTATTGGTCAGACAAAAAAACTTTATAAGATTTTTAGTTAGAACTCTCGAGGGGCTACTCAGAACTTTCAACAGAACTCTGAAAAAAACAAACCAAATTTTTTTGTTCATAAAAATTCGCCCCTTGTTTTGGCTTATAACTTTTTTACTGTTGGTCGGACAAAAACACTTTATTAGAGTTTTAGTTAGAACTCTGGAGGGGTTCTCAGAACTCTGCCGATTTGCGACGTCGGCACTGCTGTATCGGCGCTCTGCTACTATGCGACGTCAGCGTTACTGTGTTGGTGTTGTATAACGCTGCAAGCGGTAGTCACCGTCACGCGGGTTCACGGTTGGCGGTGGAGTGGCGGCGCTCCACCTTCAAATAGCCAAGCCTTGTTTGACAGTCCCGTATACAAGTCAAGGACTATTTGTTGGTGGCTGGGCGTTAACTACAACGACTCCGCTACTAACGCTTTGCTATTCGCGATGTTGGCGCATTGTCCTCGATCGGCGCTCTCTTCTGGGCGACGTCGGCGCTCTGCTGATGGACGACGTCGACGTTACCGTCACGCGGCTTCACGGTGGACTATGGAGTGGCGGCGCTCTACCTCTAAATAGTCAAGCCTTGTGTGGCAGTCTCTTGTACAACTCAAGGACAGCTCCATGCTGACTGACTCATATGTTGCTGAGCCACTCCTTTATAGGTCGTGTTCTTCGTGTTGCTGAGTTGTGTGGCTACATGTTGCGTTGCTATGGTGACGGTATCGCCAAGGAGTGTTGCTACGGTCTCTCGTTGATTAGCCAAGTTGATGTGTTGATGGCGCTGTTGCAGTCGTTGTTGCTACTGGTGTGGTCGTTGCTATTCGTGATGTAGTCGTTGTTGCTGGTGTAGGGGGTAGGCATTCGTGTGGGCTAAATTTCGCAGATATTTAGACTTCACACCTCCCCCCTTCTTCGACAGGCTCAAGTTCGACGGCATTTCAGGACTATACGGGCGCCCCACCGGTATACGGTTACCCCGTAGTTTCCCGTGACGATCCTCAAGTGGGAATTGCAGACATCCCCCTCGATGTTGCGTAGAGCATTCCGTACCCTCTCGGCGATTTCTGGCAACTGGTTCAGCGTTAGTCCGCCGGCTTCGTCGGCGGGAGTGACCGTTTGTTCCCTTGGGGGTGTTGACGAGCCCCGCGGTGGTGACGCTGCTTCGGACGGTGCTGGTGCTCGGGATGGTAGCGGTGCAAGCTGCGCTACCTCAGGTGGCGCTGGTGTGTGTGGTGGCGGAGGTAGTGGTGATTTTGCCTCTGGAGGTTCCGAGGTTCGTGGTGGTCGCGGTGGTGCTCCTGCCTCCGGTGGTTGCTGGAATACCCTCAGCATGTGTGCGCGTTTTTGCGCCGCCATGGTCGCCGTGAACGGGCCGGATATACACCACGGCCCTCCTTTTCCGCGTCCTACGGATATCAGCACCCTCTCGACCGTTTTCACCACGTAAATTCGCAGCCGCTGTCGTTGGTTTGTTGTGGTACCTCCAGATACTGTATTTGGGGGTCTCCCGCTAATGTCGCTGCCGGTATTCCCACCGGAGGAACTCCCGCCGGTCACCTAAATATAGGGGCCGTGCCAATATTCGCTGTCCGTGATGTTGTGGGTCACCTCCTGGTTGGCGAGGGCAAGCATGTACCTATTGTTCGCCACGTTGAGTGGCGCGAGGACAACCCGTTGGCAGAAGAGGTCGGTGTGGCGTAGCCACCGTTGGATGCGCTGATTGTCCTCTCCTCGGTCGGGTTGTCTTAACTGCCAGACCACGAATGGGCTGAGCACGGTACCTCGTATGTTGAGCGTGGTTTCCAGGCCCTTCGCCCAGGCATCGACGACTGTGTCTGTCAGCCAGTAGGGTCCTGTCAGTGTCCGCAAGTCGGCCTCATACAGTACTATTCCGCCTGGTCCTGGCGGGAAGATTACTCGCGGGCCCGTCGACGCCTGCTGCGGCGTCTCTTCGTCCGAAGATAGTTCGATTTCGAGAGGTTCGGGCAATCCCATGTCAGTGTCCTTGTTACCCAGGGTTTCATTGTTGGGCAGTCTGTCGCTAGCTGGGCTCTCGCCTGGTGAGCTATCGGTGGTCGTGCTGGTGCCTGATGAGCTGGTGTGCGGTGCACTGTCGCTTGTTGGACTGTCGCTGGGCGAGCTACTGGCGGACGTAGTTTTGTCCGTGTCCACTGCGCTCCCATGCCTAGTGTCGTGGTCTGACACTACCCTCCTCACCGGGAAAACGGCTGCCCCGGCGGCGTTGTTGCTGTTGTTTCCCGTAGGGTTGACGGTCCCGTAGGGTTGACGTGCGCGCGGCGATGGCCCGCCGGGCAGTAGTTTGGCTGCGCCGGCGCGTTCTGCTGTAGGCTGTTCGGTGTCGGCACTTTCGGCGCGAGTGCCCTTCCTCATGCTGGATGTGGCCGCGTACCTTGCGGCTGCTTGAGCGTCCATCGCGTATACCGACAGAGCGCGCTTTGTTTCGGCGTGGATGATGACGGCGTGCTTGCTGGCTGCGCGTGCGACGGCGATTCACCTAGCGGCTAACTGGGTCACCATTGTTGCTGCTGGCTGTGCAATTGCAAGCAGCGTTCCGTGGGTCTATGTTCGGACCCACGCCTAGCATCTGGGTGCGCGGTCGCTTCGCGTCTTCCTCGGCAACGTGTTCGCGCAATCGCTTCACGCTACTCTCCATTTCCCTCTTCCATATTCCTTGTCGACTGATTTTCGCTTTTGAAAATTTCTCGCTTATCCACGTGTGGCTGGTTCGCGGATTCACGATCGAATGACTGCCTCCACTGATGCGATGGTCTTTCTAATTTTTATTTATTATTTTTTTCTTTCCTTTTATTTGTGGCCAAAACAAAATTTAATTTGTACTAATTGTGTGCCTTCTGTTTGGCATGGTTCGCCTCCCGTCATTGGTTTTTCGTAGCTACGACATTTATTTCGTCGAAGAGTGCTCCCGGTAGTCGTGGTTCCTGTCCTTGCACTATGAACGCTGGGCTGTATCCTTTGGATGCTGTAACGCTCGTGGAGGCGAGTGTGATTTCTGGGAGGAGGTCATCCCACCGCTTATACTGTGTCTCCGTAAGCTGTGCGATAATCCGCTTTACGGTGCGGTTGGCGCGTTCCGTCGGGTTTTCTTGGGATGTATACGGGGCCGTGAATTGTTGGCGTACCGCCACCTACTGGAGGTAACGCTGCCAGAGCGCGCTAGTAAATTATACACCATTGTCCGAGATGAAGACCTTGGGTACGCCAAATCGGACGAGGATGCGCTCCCTAAACGCGCGGCGAAGTCCTTCCGCTGTGGCCTGTCCCGTGGGGACCAGCTCGACCCACTTGCTAAATCGGTCGAAAAACAACAGTAGCATGGCGCTGCCATGCGTGGGCCGTGGTAGGGGTCCAATAAAGTCGGCGCATACCGTGGCGAAAGGTTCTTGTGCGACCTGCTAGAGCATCTTGCCGGCTCGTTTGTGTTGCGCCTCCTTATACTTCTGGCAGGACTCATCATCGCGAAAACATTCCTGGCCAATAATACGGATTGGTAATCCGTCCTACTGTTCGGCGAGTACCGATTTGTCCGGCGCTTGGTATGTCATGGTTTTCCCTCAGTACTCGTTGGCGGAGGGGGTTGGGCACACATGGTTTCCATGGGACTGCCTCTTCCTCCTGGGATCGACACGGGACGTGGCGATAGAGCTGCTCTTCCTGTATCATGTAATCGGCCTATTTTCCCGGGTTGGTACGTACTTCGTCGACGCTTCTGTGCCACCACTTGCATCGTGGTTCCGCCACTGTTGTTCGTAGTAGCGTTCCTAGTGGTTGTCGAGACAGTGCGTCCGCGACTAAGTTGGGCTTCCCTTTGCGGTACTCGATTTAGAACGCGTATTGTTGCATCTCCACGGCCCATCGCGCTTTGCGACCTGAGGGTCTTTCGATGGAATTTAGCCTTTTTAGTGACATGGGGTCGGTTATGACGTTGAATCGGTATCTTTCCAGGTAGGGCCTCATTTTGCGTATTCCCCAGATTATGGCTAAGCATTCCTTTTCCGAGGCCGAATAATTGGTCTTTGCCTTATTAAGCTTCCGACTCGCGTATGCGATTACCATTTCCCCCCCTTCCGACTCCTGTGTGAGTACTGCTCCTAGGCCGAAATTACTCGCGTCCGTCTGCGGGGTGAATTTCTTGCTGAAGTCTGGGCACGCGAAGATGGGGGTCTAGGTGAGTTTTCTCTTGATCATGTCGAATGCCTCCTGTTGTTCAGTTCCCCCTCCAGTGTTTTCCCTTCTTCAGGAGGATGTGAGTGGTTAGCGTAGCGAAGTCGGGTACGAACCGGCGGTACCAGGAAGCTATCCCGAGGTATTGGCGCACCTCCTTCACGTTGGTCGGAGGTTGTAGTTCCTGGATGGCGGCGACTTTGTCGGGGTCAGTGTGTATGCCCTTATCACTAATGACGTGGCCCAAGTACCGGCGCTCCTTTTTAAATAGTCGCAGTTTTTGGGGTTAATGCGCAGTTTGACCAGCAGTAGTCGTCGGAGTACTCTCGCGAGTGCGTTTCTCCACCGTGGCTACTCCACTCATAGTCTCGAATTTGTGCAGTTCTTCGGCTAGAAAGTCGCGTATGCGGCTGCCTCATATTCGTGATTGGGGTCCTCGTGTTCTATCCTGTTGACACTTTCCCTGGCGGACCGTCGTCTTGTAATGCGCCCCCTTTCTTACTACTTGGTCGGCGATGGTTCGTTATGGCGGGTGGTTCGGGCTCCTCGGTGCTTGCTGCTGGCCCGCTTGGTGTTGTCGGCGTGAGTTGTATAGGTGGCTCCGTCAGTACGACGCGGTAACCACCGCAGGACACCGTAGCTCCCATTCCCCCTAGTGTGTCCAGGCCCAGAATGATGACGTCATGCATACTCAGCCGTCATGTTGTACGTTGTTTATGCTTTGCTCGTCAAAAAATTTTTCTTTGTGATTCCTACAAAGCTAAGCGTGAATGTGACTTTTAAAGTGTGAAACGACATAAGTTCATTCCTAAATGAGACAGTGACTCTTGTTAATTTAAATTTGCATTATTTTCTATTTTTTCTAAGTTAAATAATACCTTGCTCTTGTGGCCATAAAGTTGATCGCTCAACTAAAAAATAAAATTCAGTGCGCGAAATGCAGCGAATTGTTTCATTTGTCATGTGTTGGTTTGCTGCCCGCAGATGTAGAATTTCTCTTGAGCTCGGATAAGCGTTTTTGTTGCAAAGCTTGCTCGAATTCTCGCCGAGATTCTTACCGTTCGCCTCCACCCACCGTCGTTTTAGATGGCGGGGCTACCAACATCTCTAACATGACCGAATCTGGTTTTTCTACTAATGCGACTGTGAAGTCGCTTATTTGAAGCCATCATATCTCCGAAACAGCATGGTTTTATTAAAGGCAGATCCACCGTTTCCAATCTAGCGATTTTTACGGACGACTGTCTGGAAAGCTTTACGGCTGGGTATCATATTGATACGGTATACACTGATTTTTCAAAAGCGTTTGACAGAGTTTCTCATACAATTCTGCTGGACAAGCTAACCTGTTTAGGGTTTCACTCTAAATTTCTATCTTGGATTAAATCATATTTAAGTGATAGGTACTGTTCAGTGGTACCCGACGACACGTCCTCCCGATCTTTTCATGCCAGTTCACGTGGTCCCCAGGGAAGTATCCTTGGACCGTTGTTATTTATTATTTTTATTAATGATATTAGTTTATGCTTTTTACATGCAAAATTTCTCCTGTTTGCGGATGACCTGAAGGTTTATTCTGTCGTAGCAAGAAAGGAGGATTCTTTCGTACTTCAGTCCGATCTCGACAGGGTTCACGCCTGGTGCGTGAAGAATCGACTTTTTCTTAATATAGATAAATGTTCTCATTGCATTTTTTCCAGAAATCTTGATACTGTAAATACTACTTATTCTATTGCGGGTTCTCAACTGAAGACGGTGGACACGGTTAAAGATTTAGGAGTATATTTTGACTCAAAACTCACGTTTGCAAGCCACATAAATTTTTTAGTGGCAAATTCTTACTCTATGTTAGCATTCGTTCGTCGAAACAGCTCAGATTTCTTGGATGCGGATACACATAGGAAATTGTTTATTGTCTTTGTTAGGTCCCGTTTAGAATATGCTTCCATTATCTGGCGGACTGCCCAGGTATCATATATAAATAGAATTGAGCGTATTCAAAAGATTTTTACTAAATTTGCACTGCGATCTTTGAATTTCACACAACCTTTGCCTCTTATAACTCGCGATGTGTACTCTTAAGATTAGAATCACTTGATAATAGAAGCAAATATCTCTCTTGTTCCTTCATAGTAAAAGTCATGACTAGGGAT